TACTATCCCTTCCATAATGAAGCCACCAGGGTTTTAAAAATGATGGTCTGATCAGGTACTTTACTGTGTAAAAAGTTTTAAATGGCCTCCCAGCTTTCAAGTAAAACACGAACTTCATAATGCAAAATACATTTAGACACCTCATGACGTGGGCCCTCTCTAGATCCCCAGAATCATGTCTTTCTTACATTAATTCATGCTTTTTGGAAACTTTTGTTATTATAGCTAATAATAATTAACATCCTTACTCTGAGCTATGAACTATGCTAAATGCTTTACATACATTTTTCCTAAATTTTCCTGGTGCTGCATATTACCTGTGGTCCTTGCTAAAAATACAGTTCTCAGCCCTTGTCCCAGACATATTAAGTAATCATCTCCAAGGACAGAGGCTGGGAAACTTTTATTTTTTAAGTGTCATGGGTGTGACACTTATCATCTGGAAACTTTGTGAGAACGTTTTTTACTTGAACTTTCATTTAGTTCTCATAAAAGCTCAGTCCCATTTATAGATGGTGCCATTAAGGCTGATGAAGGGCAGTGATTTTTCCATAAAACATGGTTACTGATTCATATTGCTAGTCTTTGAACCTAGTGATCTGACTGAAGAGTTTTCACCACCCTCCTGTTCTGCTACCTAACACTTGGAAGTCAACCTGTGTACTATGTTGATACTCACTTATCTAGGCTTCTTCAGGCTCTCCACAAAAGTAATTTTCTCATCTTTGCCTATCTTACCAGTTACCCTCACAATTCCACTCAGACAACCTTTTTCTTACCTCTTCAATCTGGCTTGTTTGCATTCATATGTATCATTTGGTTTGGCAAGCGTACCATCACCATTTTCTTGTTTGTGTTCATATGTACCATTTGGTTTGGCAAGTGTACCATTACTATTTTCATATCTGCTACCCTACCAGTTGTGTTGAATCATTTGACTCCAGGTGACCTTAAACTGTCAAAGTAGAATTATAATGGCTGATTTTTTAAAGTTTTTTTTAATCGTTTTATTAGGGGCTCATACAATTCTTATCACAATCCATACATACATCAATTGTGTAAAGCACATTTGTACATTCATTGCCCTCATCATTCTCAAAACATTTGCTC